GTAAGAAGAAGAAGAGGGGGTGGGGAAGAAGAGGGGGGTAAGATGGAAGAAGGGGAGTAAGAAGAAGGGGGAGTAAGAAGAAGTAGGAGGGAGTAAAAAGAAGTAGGAGGGGTAAGAAGAAGAAGGGGGGAGTAAGAAGAAGAAGAGGGGGTGAGAAGAAGGGGGAGCAATAAGAAGAAGGGGGAGAAAGAAGAAGGGGGGAGTAAGAAGAAGAAGGGGGATAAGAAGAACAGGTGGGGGAGTAAGAAGAACAAGGGGGAGTAAGAAGAACATAGGGAGGAGGGGGTAAGAAGAACACGGGGGGGTGAGGAGAACACATGGAGGGTGGAGGGGTGGGGAAGAGAGAGCTAGGGGAGGGTGGGGGAGAGGAGAGACCACTAAGGGGCAGGGGAGAGCTCTAAGGGACAGAAGGGACAGCTCTATAGGACAGGGGGCAAGACAGGTAGCTCTTTCACACTACGCACACACACACACACACAATGCATCCCTATACATACACAGAAACACACAATGCATCCCTACACACACAGAAACACAACATGCTTCCCTTACACACAGAGAAACACACAATGCATCCATTACACACACACACAATGCAACCCTTACAAACAAAGACAATGCATCCTTTGCACACATACACAGAACCACACAATGCAAACCTTTACACACACATGCAAACACACACACATTGCTTTTCTTACATACACACAGAAACACAATGCATCTCTTACACTCAATGCACACACATACAGACACACACCTTGCATCCTTTATGCATACAAACACAGATTCACACAATGCATCCCTTACACACAACCAGAAACACACAATACATCCCTTATACACAAATACACACTGCTTCCACTACACACAAACACACTGCATCATCTACACAAACTGGTATCCCTATACACTACATACCATAAGCTCACATATTAGATCCTCTACAATAACACATAACACATACCCTACACACTCCACTCCCTGTGAGCGAACTCATGGGTGGGTGGAACATATAAGTGGACTTATGAGTGGGCTTATGGGCATACTCACCGTCAGGCCCTGGGGCCCAGACCTTAAACTGTGTAAGGGGCCCCAGAAAAATGGAGCTGCTTCCAATTGTCCCAGAACATTGAATTTTGTGACCACAGTTGCAAACAGCCTCCAGAGATCCTGTTCTACACCAGACCAGTGGAGCCAAACTGCAGCCCATCATCATCCTCATCTGGTTGTAAGTAGGCAATCTAGTATATTATTAGTGACACTAATCTATAATTTACCTCACATTAAATGGACACTATAGCTTAATGAAGTGGTTCTGGTGTCTATAGCCGGTCCCTGCAGGCGTTTTAATGTAAACACACACTGTGTGCAGCACTGGCGTTAGTTCATTTGGCAGATCATATGGGTGGGGCATTGTGATGTCACATGGGGGGCGGCAAATTTTTCTTTTGTCTAGGGCGGCAAAAATCATTGCACCGGCTCTGATCCTGGGCAGGTGCACCAGTCTACTGGTGACCCACAGGAGGGGAGTGCACTGATTGCACTGCACTCTCCTCCTGCCCAGACCCGTCTTTACCGCAGTGCAAGTGGCCTCTGCCCCTAATTTACAGTGGCTCACACTCACAGCAAGCAGTGCCTGGAGCCCTTTGCAGAGATGGGAACAAAGAGGTTCTGCGGCAGCTGGCCGTCCTGCAAGCATTACATTAACCAGCTGTTCCCCATGCAGCCACCGGTGGTGCTGTGCTGGGAGAATGTGATTACTCTTCACTTCCTCCCAGCCTACAGAGCAGCGCATGGGAGAGAGAGAGGAGGAGGCATGATTTAATCTTACAACAAATCCACTAAGCAAATCTTTATAAATTTGGGGGATCAGCTCTGTTTCCACAGTTTATTGGTGTTTACTCTGATGTCTGTATTAATATTGAGGGATTTCTAAGTAGTAACATCAGTATGTGTCAGCAGGGCCAGCCGTTGGAGTGTGCAAGCTGTGCGGTAACGCAGGGTGCCATGACAACAGAGGCGCCCGGCGGCCAACACAGCTCACAAGTTGGGGACCCCAGCATATTCAATTTAAACGATTCGCTGGTGGTCCACTGGTGCGCACCAGCAGTAGGTGCAGTCAGATCATATCCTCTCCCTCGTGGTTCCGGCGCTCAGTTAGTGAGTCAGAGCACAGGCTCAGAGATTCTCAGCCTGCGCTCTGACAACATTGAAAGTCACAGCCGTGAAGGAGCGGGTATGGCAAAGAGCTACTGATTAGCATAACATCAGTATCCGTTATAAAACCAGGAAAAGGTGGGCATGGATGGTGAACTGATTTGGCGGTGCAATGGGCCACTTCACTGGTTTTGCCCACCAGGCCTAAGGCTGCCAGCCCTCCCCTGGTTCTACAACAACCATGTTGGCTTTTAATTATGCCTTAGTTTGCTGAAATTGCTCTGTGTGCAATTTAGCAGGCAAGTTAGGTAGAGCAGCAGTTACATAGTTACATAAGCTGAAAAGAGACATGTGTCCATCAAGTTCAGCCTTTTTCACATCCGTTTCTGCTGTTAATACAAAAGAAGGCAAAATCCCAATCTGAAGCACTTCCACTTTTACAACAAACTGGGAGGGGGGGGGGGGATACTTCATGATCCCAGAATAGCAGTCAGAGATCTCATTGGATCAAGTAGCTATTACCCCACAAATTATAAAATGATATCCCTGAATATTATGTTTTTGATAGAATTTATCCTATGGCTGTTTAAATGTCTGTGTCTATACTCTGATTAAACCACCTCCTCAGGCGGCGAATTCTACATCCTTATTGCTCTTACTGTAAAAAAACATTTCCTTTGCCTTAGACGAAATCTATGTTCCTTCCAGTATAAATGTGTGACCCCCTGTCCTATTTAAAGTCCGGTTTGTGAATAGATTTCCAGACAATGATTTGTATTGGCCCCGAATATATTTGTATAATGCTATCATATTGCCACTGAGGTGCCTTTTATATAAACTAAAGAGTCGGTCATATAACTGTAAAATCTGACCCAACAGGACAGTTGTCTTTTAACTTGATTCACGGACAGTGTATTTTTTCATTAGCTCTGTATTTCATTAAAACATAAAAATAGAAAAAGGCCAATTGCATATGCTTTATTTTTACATTAAAAATAAAGAGTTTTGTTAACATATCAATGTTTGTCTTAGCACTCCCATTGCGTTACACGTAATGGAGAATTTGAAAAAAAAAGCAAATTATTTTCACAGTGAGTCAATTTTCTCTTTTGTTACTAAGAAAACTAAAGTTCTAATTTTCTTGAGTAGAAGGTCAATTTTCTATCATTACACAATCTGAAAATAGGTTGCAGGTATGAGCTGAAAGCATTTTTTCTTCAAATAAAAATTTGCCTTCTGCACATATTGTAGCAAGACATCGGGTAATCATCTGCTCAAAAAATGATTTTGTTTGTTTTTTATTGTTGATAAAAGCAGCACTGGAAGGAAAAGGGAATCAGTAATTTTATTGCTATACTTTTGAGATTATTAGTTTTTGTTGTTTATTTTGGGTTCTGTTTCAAGTGCTACTTTATGGTCTGTGTAATTTTGAGGGGGAAAAAAAGCGCAAGAACACCATTTGGATATGACACTTCAACGATTCTTATTTGATGTATAATCTAAAATAACTTAACCTTAAAGAGGCACTGTCATGCCAAACTTACCTTTCTTTAATCAATTCCTCTTCTCTCCCTCTCTCAGGATCTGTTCTTCATTTCTTCCTGTCTGCTCTAGTTTTCTTTAAAACATAAGACAAAGTAGGGGCTACTTTGTCTTATGGAGGCTTCCTACGCTTGACCAGCTTTGACCAGTGGAGGAAAAAAGTGTGCTCCGTTTCCTGTGGTCAAAGCAATTTTCCCACAATTCTTACCTTTCCTCCGTAATCTCGCAATGCTTCCTGTCAGTATTCCCGAACGTCCTGTCACTTAGACAGAACGCTGGCGAAACTACCGAATTTCATCCTAACAGAATGAGAACCGTTTGTTCATTCATGTTAGGACGCAATTCGGGACTTTTAGGTCGGTTCGAAATTTCATTCTAAGAGGCTGAAAGACCTATTGTTACCCCCTTCCCCCTCCTGGGACCCTACCCTTGAGTGGCGGGTGAGGGCCCTAAACTACAACAAGGGGGGAACTATTGTCTTCCCCCCGGTTCCCACCCATGAGCGGCAGATGGGGGCCCTAAATGAAAATGGGGGGGACCTATTGTAATCTAACCAATCAGAGTGCTCTCCGTCATTTTACACAGCGTGGGAAAGTTCTTTGGAATTTTACCATGCTGTGTAATTTGACTCATAGCAACACTCTGATTGGTTGCTTTCAATAAACCAATCACAGTGTTATGAGTCAAATTACACAGCATGGGAAAATTCCAAAGAACTTTCCCACGCTGTGTAAAATGACACAGATCACTCTGGTTGGATTTCAAGCTTACCTGTCAGTCTCTTCATTTACCTGTCAGAGCACTCTGATTGGTTGGCTTAGAATACCAAAGCCCCACATAGAGTGAGGGAGGACATGGGGGGCTTAGGAAGTGGCGAGGAGCACTGCTCCCTACCGCTTCTATTTTTACATATTACAAGGAGGGAGCTGTGCGCCGGTAGCTCCCTCCTCGTAATAAACCAAATGAGCGAACAAAGAGGTCTTTGTTTATTCGTTTTGAAATTTCTATTCATTTGTTTGTCTTTCTGATGAATTAATGAATAGATGAAATTTCCGTTTGCATGCCCAAGTGTTTAACTGGGCATGCGCGAGAATTTCACTATGCTATCTAGTGTGGGCAGATAACGTGTTCCACAGGGACTTCATCTACCCACACAAAAAGATGGCGGCGCCCAGGACCTAGGTCCTGGTACAAAATA